TATTGTTTGCCCACACAACAACGACGCCAATTGTAACCTTCTTTTCGAGTCCGTTTCAGTTCGATTCTCTTTTTAGCCAGCATTGTTGGCCATTGATTTTAATGGCTTACTTGGCGCAGCGCAACATCAAACGCCGCAATAAATGGCTAAAAAATTAATAAAAGAAATATGGCATCTTTATCGCACTTTCATCGCCCAGTGCCGCACTTGGCCATAATTAATTTCGTTCCCTTGCCTTTGCCTTTTGGCCAAAAGAAGCCAAAGCCTGACGACGTGAGCGAGCATTTACGGCTAGAAAGTTTCGGGGGCTTAGGTTTTTGGGGTTTTCGCATGGGTTTCGGGTTTCGGGTTTCGCATGGCCATTGTCGTTGTCAAAATGTTTTGCCAACTGACCGCCCATTTGAATTTTGTCGGCCAACTTGTTGGATTACCATGGGTTGCTTTTTAAACTTGCCACAGTGGAATTGAACAACGAACGACCCCCTATCTTTACAACATGTCCGTTAAAAGTTTCCAACCCACGATAGTTGGCCCAAGAACTTTGGCAGAACTTTGCTTTCTTAGGCCGAAATGCCTTATGAATAATATATGACATGGTAACAAATTTATAGGGAGTAGCCAGTTGGCCAGGATCTTGCCCATCGTACCGGGAAACTGAATAATTTTAAACGCTGCTCATTTTTCAAGTCTGCGCGCCCTTTTCGGAATGGCGGCCTCTTTCTACGTCTGTGCTGCGGCTTTAATAGCCTGCAGGGTTAAAAATTTAATGGAAAAACGTTTTAATAAATCAGTTAAGTGGTCTTGCCGCTTTTTTTGCGGCTAATTACACGCATTAGTGTTGGCCAGTCCCAGATCTCTTCGGCTGTTCGGCGTGTTAACAGCCGCAACCGTGTCTCCAGCTCCCAGCATCCGACTCTAAGCTCCATATGCGACATATATATATATATATACAGACCCTCGCCGCAATGTCGGCCATGCAGCGCGTAATTTAGCAATTAAAAGCGATTAACGCGCGGCAGACATGGCTACTTAGTGTCTAAGATCGGAGACGAGACCACGCATGGTATATATATGTGTACATATATATATGGGTGTACCCGATATCCAAGAAGACCGCTTCCAAAGCCAGTTTGAAGAGCGAGGCAAATCAGCATTAAGTGTTCGGCTGTTCGGCTCTTAACAATGCAATCAAATTTTATGCTGATTATCGAAACATGCAGCAAAAATTAATGGTCGTGCGCAATTAAGCAGGGTGTTTTTCCCCCAATGCATTTCATGTCTTTGATCTAATTTGAATAACCATAAACTCCCAGCGGTATGCTTATGCGCTTTTACGGCTTTAAGAATCAGAAGCAATGGTTTTTCTAATGCAATCTTAACTTTTTACGAGATTTGAATGTTTGGCAGTAAAATTCTAAAAATTAAACAGATTTCATTTAAACAATAATGAAAGGAAATTAACCGAAAAATAATTAAATATTTATAAAAAATATTTCCAGTTCTCTTTAGAGCATTCTAAACTATATTGTTGAAAACCCAGCTCATGCTATTAATTCAAAAACAATTGTTGATTTATGGATATTAAAAGATCACTTACTGCACAACCGTATCGAATGGTAATTGTACAATTCATAACACAAGAAATTCAAATTTTGCAGAATGACAAGGTAAAGTGTGTTATTATTTATTCTAGAGCTCTGGGGATATTTATTGGATTGCGGATTGGTGAACTGTAGCTGGCAATTTTCGGCCAGGTAATGGAGCCTACCTACATATATCCCCGCTTCCGCCTGCCTCCTCCTTTCGATCCTCTGATCTTCAGCAGATTTTTGTGAAAGGCGCCCGACTGCGGTTGAGTGTTACACATTTTTCGGTCGCAGGCTGCTGCTGGCCTGCAGTTCTAGTGAATGTGCCTTGCCCCAGTTTTCCGGGCACATCTACTGCTTACATCTGTATACATGTCGGGGGAAAAACTTTCTAAACCGCGCCCCAAAAAAAAAAATATGGCGCTCTGGCCATGAAATTTGCATGCTGACCACAGGCTTCGGTCCAATAGCAAGTTCAAGTCGTTCGCCCAACCTTTATGACACTTGACCGCAACGGAGTGGAGTGCATTTCTGTGGTCAATCCATCGGCGGCTCGTGACTCTCGTTCCGTTTTTCTCACCTGGGCGTTAGTGTAGCACAAATTGCCGCGAATTAACTTCTCGTTTTCGCTGGCAACGACTTCCGCTCTTAACCCATTGTTGCCGGCGGAAGCAGCGAAAGTGGTGAAATCCATCGAAGACAATGGCGAAGGCGCCACCTCTTAACGGTCGAACGACAAAATGCAAATCTCGTGTAACCTGGACCATCCGAAATGCTTTACGAGCGATGGGGCAAAAACATATAGTACACAGTAAAAAATGATCAATTTTGTTATCAAAAGATTGGTTTTAAATCTTGATTTTGAATTTTGAGTTATGGAAATAATAGTTTATTTTAAATACTATTACTTATTATATAATATTTTTAAATGATTCTAGACATTTCTATAGATTTTTTCATCTATTGGTTCTTTATAAAGGATATGGAAAACAAATAATATATTTTAAATACTGTTATTTATTATATATTATTTTTAAATAACTCTAGATATTTGTTTAGATTTATTCGGGTGTACCTATAGCATCATCTTATAAGTATAGTGGATATATATTTTTGTACTTGGAGATAACGATGCTCTCGAGTGAGTTCTCGAGGCTTTCACGGTTTATTAAGGCTGTTTATGTGGCGTTAAATGCTAAGGCCTCGCTGTGCCAAGGTAAATGCGAGAGCAAACACATTTTAATGGCATTCGCATTCCATTTGCCACCGCCGCAAAGGCAAAAGGCAAAAGAAAAAGGCTTTAAGGCGGCATAGCAGGCCTAACAAAACAAACCCCAAAAACCGCATAAACAAATCAATGTGCGGAGTGGAAATGCGACGCATGGGAGTTGCAAGTCCAACTCCGGCTTTGATGGCCGCCAAGTGATAGAAGTGGTCAGAAATCCAAAAGACTTGGGAGCAGAGGGAACCGTTCAAATCCAAACCAGAGCCATTGGGACCACACAGGCCCAGGACCAGATGAAAGGGTCGCTCTTTCCCTTCGTTTCTGTCTCCCTAAAATCCAAATCCCCGACCCCCAATTCGATTTCTCATTTGACGACGTTCCCGCCCACACCATAAATGTGTGGTGTGTGTGTGTATTGCGTCCCCAGGCACTGAAATCACCGCATTGAACTTGAAAGTTTGCTGTGAGAGGACCGGAGGACCGGACCCAACCGATTCGAACCGCAAAGAGACCCCCACACAGATCCACAGATCCAGATCCCAACTGACAATTGTATCGCGATTGACCGCCGGGCAGGGCACAAATGTAAATGCACTCAGAAATTGGCTTCAGCTGAAATAATAAGAAGGCTGGCCGCGAGACTTTAAAGACGGTTCCGTATCTGGTTGGAAAGGGGGGAAAAAAGGAGCTGGAGGTCCAGGACCAGATAACGACACCCTTTAATTGGCCTAATCGAGGCAATAACTCAATTTTATAAGCTGTCAGGCGTAAATGATATGCTGCAAGAGAAGCTAGAAAATAATAAGCATATTTGCAGGGCAGGTTAGTTAAAAATACGTATAAATATATATTACAAAAAATATACCTGATTAGAATTTTCCTTGATTGACACATTCGAATTTTTATGGTCTGATTGCCAAACAGGTTCATTAAAATTCTTTGAGAAGAAACCTACCTAAAACTGAGAAGAACTCTTGCTTTCGTTATATGGCCATTTTTGATTGACACATTCGAATGTCACAAATAGATCTGACATTTTTCAAGGCTATAATGATACACTAAGAAAAAGGGGTACCTAATTTATAAGATTACCATGTTATTACTTCGGTTCTTGCAAGAGATTTCCTATACAACTCAAGTTCCTATCGAATAGCAATAAAATAATAAAACCTGTTGATTGACATATTCGAATGTCATAAAATTGCTGATTTATGAGATGCCAGGGTGCGAAAAGCGATTCATGGGAACATCGGGCAGAGATTAAGTTTGCGGCTGGTGGAAGTGGAAAATGGAACCTGGAACCTACAACCAACAACCAGTTTGCCCTTAACCCGCTGGCGCTCCCTTTATCAACTGTCACCTCGGTTGGAGTGACGCACCCAGAACCGAGCACTACGTGACCAAGTGACAAATTGCTGGCGAACGGCGACGAAGGACGGGCAACTTCAATTTCTCTGCCATGAACTTGAAAGAACGAATTTCTCCAACTTTTTGAGTGGCTGCGGTATGGGGGCGAATTTAACGGGACGACGAGGAAAGTGCAACGAACTGCAATTCCAATCATTAAGCTGGGTGCGTCCTTCGCTGCAGAACAACCATAAATTGATATAAGTTATGCAAGGCGTAAACGAAGTTCTGTTTTGATTGCAAAAAGGTATTAATGGCATCCGCTGTCGACTTAAAGCTTATCGAAAGACCTTTTTGTTTATGATCCTTTGTCTCGGTTTCCAATTACCTCCCACGCGTGGATGAGGAAGGGTAAAACAGAAATAATATCTGAGCAATATTCATTTATAAACCTAAAAGAAATAATAGCCAAACTAATGCAATTTCCAAGTTTATGAGTTTATCTAAATTAAAATATATTTTCTTATTTTAGAAATCCCTTGCGAGGTGCTAGAAATTTCCATAACTCTATTTTTTATGAGCCAGCTGCTGGTTTTCAGTTCGAGTGCAATAATAATAAATATTTTACTATTAAACTTTTACGAGCTTAGAACACTGAACACCATAAAAATATGTATTACTTTTCTAACTATCGAATATGGGTGCAGTCTGCGAGTGCAGCCAAATAAAACTTTCATCGCTCTAATTAAAAGTTCTAAGCTGTCCGATAAAGTGAAGCCAAAAGCTAATTGCCATGAAGCCGAGCTCATCGTGTGTTTGTTTGTTTCATTTTTCCATTGCAGGCACCTCGAGGAATTGCTAGTCGGTTGCGTTGTCCATTAGCAGTCAATCAGCCGAAGAGTCGAGAGGAGAAGAGCCAGCAGAAGATACAGATACAGCCAGAGGAAGCAGGAGGAGTACCGATACAGATACAGGATGCACGAGAGACAAGTGAAGAAGTGAGTCGCGGATGCGGCACTTAGCAGCCAATCGGCGATAACATTTGCGCTCCAATTACAGGTTGAAGGGCAGCCATTATGTGGCCACGCACGGTCGCCTCACCCCGGATCCGCCCTACGTCCACTCGAACCGGGGCTACTCCACCGACGGCGACGAGACCCACTCCCATCGAGCGCCCTCGGAGCGCACCTATTCGGAGTACACCCTGACCCACGAGCGCATCTCGCCGCAGTACAATCCGTCGCGCAAGAAGCGCTCCTCCTCCGCCAATGGCCACCACCAGCACCTGCAGAGCAGCTACAGCCACAGTCAGATGGGCCTCTCCAGTTCGCCGGACAACGGAGGACCCCGCTCGCTCAGCGGCCCGCCGCCCACGCGGCAGCCACCGCGTGCTCCGTCCGCCCTCAGCTACGACCAGGCCGGCGATGCCGGCAGCGACATCTATGTCACCAGTGCCGCCTACAAGGCGCCCTCCGAGATCAGGCAAGTTGGAAGGATGAAATTGAGTTCAAATTACCATGTCAGGAATTTCTATGAACAGTGTTTATTGATCACAGTAACATAAATTATTTAAAAAATTATAATTTTTCAAATTTTATACTTTTTAACCAACTGAGCTATATTTCTTGATTTAAATGATTTATTTTCAGTTTTGACTTCAAATTTTGTAAATATTTTAATTCTTATTTTAAGGGGTAAACCCAAAAAAAAAATCGATATGAAACGTAGATCGATTTTACATTATTTAAGATCAACTTTAATTTTATATGAGGCCAGGTAAATTTGACCTGGTCGAAAAAGGTATTTCATGTAAAAACGATCTGGGTTCTGCATGACCTGGAATTTACATGGCCATATCAATTTTACGGTGACATGCTTTTTTTTGTGTAGTAAAAATTTTAGTAAATAAATTTCTGACAATTTTATAAAACATCTTAAAAAAACACTTGTCCAAGGATAAAAAAAATGATTTTAAATTAAATATTGTTTATTTGCATTAGAGAAATTATTCTGAGTTAAGGATTCATTTATTAAAGAGTAAAGTACTTTAAGATTTCATAGAAGTAAACCTGACATAAAAATAATACTTTTTAAGCAAAAACCTGGTGGTAAAGTTACGGTTTTTGGATATATTAGATTAAGAACTTTTATTAATGGATAGCTACTCTATAGAGAACTTAATTTTTAATCAATCCCTTTCCATTGCAGTCGCTACAGCCAGCGGCCGGTGTCGCGAGGAGCTCCGCGGAGTGTCTACTCGGTGGCCAGCACTGCTAAGACCGGAAGGAGTGGGCGCTCGACGACCAGGAGGGGCGCCAAGATCGAGACGATGTCCGCCCCGAATCCATTTTGTCCCAATGTGAAGGGCGTGTGCTGCCTGATGCTGCTGCTGAATTTGGGCCTGATCCTGGTCACCCTGGGATTCGTGATCGTGGTGCAGTTCTACGAGCCGCTTTACGTGTGGATCCTGGGCATCGTGTTCCTGATCTTCGGCTTCCTCACGCTGATCGGCTGCATGATCTACTGCGTCTATGTGTTCCGGGACGCCAAGACGCCGTCCCAGGTGCGAAACGAGGATCTCTACTGGACGCGGCACTGGCAGAAGAATATTGGGTACACGCCGCAGGAGATCAACTACAAGGCGGACAAATATGATGCCTACTCCGATCGCTATTCGGTCAGCAAGCTGAGTGGAAAATATTCGGATCGCGAGAGCCAGCGATACTGATTGATTGTTATATACGGTTTGATTGGGGGATCCTTCAGCCAGAGACGAGAGAAAATATCCATAGAAACGTATAAACCACTTATATCTTAACTAATTGTAAGACTATGTACTAGTTCTAAACGGTTATTAACAAGGCCCCGCAACGTACCTGCTGCAAGTTGCTTGCTAGTTTGTATGTTTTAAGAGAGAAACGGGAGGGAAACGAGAGGATACATCAGAGTATTGTAATCTGCCATATTTGAGAAGGTTTACCGCTCGTTCGGCTAATCAACAAGAGAGTTTTATGCTAAAATTGTAACTGCAATTGTAACACATGAGAAATAAACAAGCGAATAATACGTAATACAGAAAACGATGGTTTAATTATTTCAAATTTCAAAAATAAGACCGAATCGATACGGCAACTCCTAGATGATTTCAGTCTGGCAGCTTCAATAAGTTGGTATTTTTTATACGTGGCGCCAAAATACTAAGAGTCTTTGGTATGTGTGGTATTTTTTAGAACACCAACAACGGTCATATTGCGGTGTGGGAAATAAACAAATTGCAAATATTGGCCCCAAAATTAGCCAATTACCCCGATAATGTCCTTCCACCTGAGCACAAAGGAGCGCCTCTTGCTGCTGATCGACGACATCGAGATGATAGCCAAGGAGCTGATCGAGCAGGCGCACCAGAAGATCTCCAGCACGGAGCTGGTGGACTTGTTGGATTTGCTGGTGGCCAAAGACGAGGAGTTCCGCAAAATGCTGGAATTGGCGGAGGAGCAGGCCAAAGTGGAGGAGGCGATGGACCAGCTGCGCGCCAAGGTGGAGGTGCACGTAAGTGAAGGTCTTTAAACTACCGAACAATAAGTAGTTAATGGTATTTCCCCAACAGGACCGTGAGATCCAGAAGCTGCAGAAGTCTCTGAAGGATGCCGAGCTCATCCTGTCCACGGCCATCTTCCAGGCGCGCCAAAAGCTGGCCAGCATCAATCAGGCCAACAAGCGACCGGTTTCCTCGGAGGAGCTGATCAAGTATGCCCATCGGATCAGCTCCGCCAATGCGGTCAGCGCTCCTCTAACCTGGTGCATTGGCGATCTGCGTCGTCCCTATCCCACGGACATCGAGATGCGCAACGGGCTGCTGGGCAAATCCGAGCAGAACATCAACGGCGGCGGCCCAGTGACGCACCAGAACAGCGGCATCCCCTCGGAGCAGCAGCGTACCCTATCCGGCAGCGGGGGAAGCGGGAGTGGCAGTGGTGCCGGCGGCGAGGTGCCCAATGCCTTCCAGAACCAATTCAACTGGAATCTGGGCGAGCTGCACATGACCATGGGCGCCTCGGGGAACACGGTGGCCCTGGAAACGCGCGCCCAAGACGACGTGGAGGTCATGTCCACCGACAGCTCGAGCTCCAGTTCCAGCGACTCACAGTAGAATGGAAAATATTATAATTAAATCACGTTTAAGCTAGTAGTAGGTATTTAATAAAGGCACTATAAGGAAAGCAAGATCTATACAATTAAAATTTAACCTTTCTTTCTCGTTTCAAAAACGACTTGTCTAGCTATTTTTCCAATTGTCTAAAAAATGTTCTAAGAAGTTTAACAAAGGTAAGGACATTTTTTTTGTTAAGTTTTAAAAATTGTATTCATTAAATTGCTATTGGAAATTACCCAAAAGGTAATGTTCCAATTACAAAAATTCTTATATTCATTTTTATCATGTATACCTGATTTTATTCAAACAATTTTCCTATATTTTACAGGCGATTAAATCACAATTTTACAAAATTGTTATTACATTCCTTTTTTAAAATTAATTTATTTTTAGGTTGCAGTCAATTGAAAAACCAGTGGAGTCCGCTTATTTATTTCAGATTGTACCCACTGGTAAATGCCCTAAAATAACGAGGTATTTTCGCGTTATCCCGCAAGGGTCTTACCAAAGCAGCCAAACAATCGATTGGCAGGGTCGCGTGCAATCGATACTTTGACAGCTCCAGCTCTCACATATTTTAGTTTTGGTTTAAAAAAAAAAATGGAATGCAACGCGAATGCAGCGTGTTTTAAGTAGCTAAAATGTGGCCAAGGTGTAGTCCAGTGTCGGCGCCAATCGCAGATCTGAACCGTGTGCGTCTGTAACGAGAGCGAAGCCCCGAAAACGAGCGTAGAAAACCGACCCCCAGTCCGCAGTGTGTGTGTACAGAGGGCGAGAAGCGAAGCGAAGGCGAAGAAGGCTCGACTCAAACTCTTTTTTCAAACCGAAAGCAAAACCAATTGCAAGTTGCAAATTGCAATATCAAAGAGGCAGAAGTGGAGTGCCACCGCCGCCTTGCAGCACCCCGTTGCATCCGCATTCGCAATCGGGTTACATACAACACACCCATAAGACAGCACACACCACACTTTTACTTTTCCGAACCGATATTGTTGGGGAAAATTTGCCAAAAAAAAAGGAAACTCGAAGAAGCGACATGATAAATTGTTTGATTTCTACACACTGCATGTTTGAATTATTGTAAAGCCAAGAATTGTAGACGTAAATCCATAGAGAACCACTAGAAAGTCACCCGACATGATGATTCAAGAGCCCGTGCAGGTAAATCAATAGCTTTTCGGTTTAACTGGTCTCTAAATAAAAAACTCTCTCCCTCCTTTTAAAGGCCGCCATATGGCACTGCCTGAACTACTACGACTTCAAGGATGCTGTTTTCCTGGCGGAGCGCCTCTGCTCCGAAGGTAAGGGTCAAGGTCCCTGGGTTTTCCCATGTACATCACTGATTTTCTTTTCCTTTTCTACCCTTTTGTTCAGTGGAAAGCGACGAGACGATATTCCTGCTGGCCACCAGCTACTTCCGCTCCAACCAGGTGCACCAGGCCTACTGGCTGCTCAAGGAGAAGACGCGCCGCTCGCCGCAGTGCCGCTTTTTGCAGGCCAAGTGCGCCTACGAGCTGAAGAAGTACGCCGAGGCGGAGAGCGCTTTGATCTCGACGGGATTCGCGGACGCCAAGAACTGCGATGAGCTGCAGCGGGAGTTTGGGGATCTGGCCTGCTTCGCCTACCAGCTGATGGCCCAGATCTGTGTGCGCACGGAGCGCAATAAGCTGGCCATTAGCGCTCTACGGCGGGCTCTCAAGCTGAATCCCTTCATGTGGCACGCCTTCGCGGATCTGTGCCTGCTGGGCCAGGACACAGATGCGGCGGCCATATTCCAGATCCACAGCACAGATGTGTTCAACACCTGCCAGGGCAGCAGCGCCAATGCCAATGCCATGGTCTTGTTCGGCGCCGAGCAGCAGCAGCAGCAGGAGCGCCAGTCGCTGATCACCAACCTAAGCAATATCTCTAACTATATACTGACCACGCCAGTGGATCAGCAGCAGCAGCAACAGAATCAGCAGCAGCAAACGCAGCAGAACCATAACCAAAACCACAACAACAGCAACCTGGTGACGCCCATAAACAACAATAATAACAACAACAATCTCAACAGCTCGATCAGCATGCTGCGCGGCGGTTTGGTGCAGAACTCCAGCATGCTGGCGATGCTGGAGGACACACCCATGGGCGGCTATCCACAGGATTCGACCGCCCAGCAGCAGCAGCAGCTGTACGACATGAGCAGCGGCACACCCTTTCGCAAGCAGTTCAAATACCTTTCGGCCATCTCACCGCCCACGCCCAGCTTCGGCATCATGCCGCTGACTAGTCCCTGCACCGCCAACGATGGCTCCTTCATCGGCAACCACACGCCCGTAATGAACTACTCACCGATGCCGCAGATGCTGGTCGAGGTCAACCAGGAGCCCAAGATGATGGGCAAGAAGCTGAAGACGCATGTCGGCGGGATCATCCAGCGCAAGGAGGGCAGCCTCAACAAGCCGGCCGTCTTCACGCAGGCGGGCAACATAACGCCACGCACGCCGAACAACAACAATGTGGGCAACAATGTGCCGCCCAATCCGAATGCTGCAGTGCGTCGCAGTTCGCGACTGTTTAGCAACTCGTATTCGGTGAAGGAGAACAACAAGTCGCCCAATATAGCCAACAAGTTCGTGCAGCCTCGCTCGCCGCCCAGGAAAACAAAGTCACGGATGACCAAGATCTGCCTGAATAACGAACTGATCGAGGAGAAGTCCCACCATCATTTGTCGGAGAAGCGAAAGGAGAAGGTGGAGACCATCACCTCGTCGGGAGCGAATAACAACAGCGGCGGACGCAGTGCCGCCGAGGAGGCCAAGGTCCTGCTGAACAACAGTCTGAACAATGCGCAGACGATGGCCCACCAGTTGATGGGACTCAAGAAGCAGTCGGCCGACGGGCTGATGGCTCTACTAAGGGATTTGGCTGAAGCCTATCAGCTGCTGTCCAACTTCCAGTGCAAGGCGGCCATCAAGCAGCTAGAGACGACGATACCAAAGCACCAACTGAACTCCAGCTGGGTGCAGTCGCTGATCGGAGTGGCCAGGTACGAGATGCGCGACTACGAGGCGGCGGTGGGAATCTTTGAGAGCATCCACAAGGCGGAGCCATGCCGGCTGGACTACATGGAGATATACTCCTCCTCGCTGTGGCATCTGCAGCGCGAGGTGGAGCTCTCTGCTTTGGCCCAGGATCTAATTAACCAGGACAAGAGCAGCCCGGTTACCTGGTGCGTTTCCGGCAATTGCTTCTCCCTGCAAAAGGAGCACGAGACGGCCATTAAGTTCTTCAAGCGGGCCGTTCAGGTGGATCCCGACTTTGTCTACAGCTACACCCTGCTGGGCCACGAGCTCGTGCTGACCGAGGAGTTCGACAAGGCGATGGACTACTTCCGGGCTGCCGTCGTCCGGGATCCGAGGCATTACAACGCCTGGTTTGGGATCGGCACCATCTACTCCAAGCAGGAGAAGTACGAACTGGCCGAAATCCACTATGTGAAGGCTCTGAAAATCAATCCGCAGAACTCTGTTATCCTCGTGCACATCGGCGCCATGCAGTTCTACATGAAGAAGAAGGATCTGTCGCTGCAGACACTCAACACGGCCGCCACGCTGGACCCGAAGAATCCGCTGACCCGATTCCATCGCGGCTCCATCTACTTCTCGCTGGGCAAGTACCAGGAGGCGCTGCGCGAGCTGGAGGAGCTGAAGGAGGTGGTGCCCAAGGAGTCGGTGGTGTTCTATCTGATCGGCAAGATCCACAAGACGCTGGGCAACATGGATCTGGCGCTGATGCACTTCAGCTGGGCCACCGATTTGGATCCCAAGGGTGCCAACAATCAAATCAAAGATGCCTTCGACTCCATGGCCCATCCCAGCTGCTGTCCGGCCAACACGACGGCCTTGGACGTCGATCTGGAGCCCACCTCGGAGCGTTCCGATGACTCGACGCAGGCGCAGCAGGATGGAAGCTACGACAGCGACTACTAGGGAGCTGCGACTCCAAATTCACGCGGTTGTATATACGTTGAAAACAGAGGAAAGCATAGGAAAACCAGATCGATTCGATTGCTGCTGCATTGTCGTAGAGGAAACGCAAACCAATTATGAAGTATAATAAAGTCTAGATAACGTTTAGCATTAGTAATTTAAAATATACAACAAAGTAAATGGTTTAAACAAAATTGTGCACTCTGAAAGTCTAAGGCAAAATAACAAAACAAAACAACAAATTAAATACCACTTAAAAATATACAAGAAAAGGATAGATTTTAAATGTTAAGTTCTTATGGGAATAACCAGACTATTATACATTGGACAATTGGAATGATCCCATTAAAACTATTCAAAGTGGAAACTTAACTATAAGAAAAATGTGAATTTAAACAAGATTAGTTTGGAGTTCCTCTATGTCCTCGACTTCTTGCTTGACAGGAAGACGCAGGATCTGCTCATGGGTCAAGCGCTGAGTTATTTCCAGGGCATTCCGTAGGCGCTCTAGGTTCACATCCAACATGGTGGCCAAGGCGGGCAGGTGATCCTCCAGTAAAATGTATTTACGCGGACGCTGCACTTTTAGGATGCTACATACATCCTTGGTGCCGAATATTTCGCCAATGGAGTCGCTCAGGGAGATGTTCACGGAGAAATCCGATTCGGTTTCCGATGGAATATCCGGAATATGAGTGTCCTCGCCAAAATCAAGGGCATCGGATGAGGAATTCAATTCCTCTGAGGGCGGCAACTGGTGAACAAAATGTGCTGGATATTGTGAGGGCAGTTTCGATGAAGAGGGCGAGATCCCTGGGTAATCTTTTTGGGGCTTCTCCTTAGCCGGTTGCTTCGGTTTTCGCACACGTTTTTTGGGTGTTGCCGGTCGGCTCCTCTTCCTTTGGGAAGTTTTTGGAGGATCAGGATCTTGATTATCATTCTTATTCCTTCCTTGTTTATTGATATCATTCTTAAGGTGGATAATCTTATCCGAAGACTTCTGGTGGACGATTTCATCAGAGGATCTTAGGTGTACTACTTTATCCGCCGGCTGCAAATGGACAACTTTCGCAGTGGGTTTGTCCTGCTGCAACGGTAGTTCAGTATAATAGTCTTCATCGTTCCCGAACAATTGAGGAGAACAGCTTTTGGGCGGAATCTTCTGGGAATTCCGGATTTCCTTGTCGATTAGGCGCTGCGATCGGCGCACCGGCGAGTGTTGGGAACCCACACAGGCCGAGCAGTAAGTGGAGGCCGGACTTGGAGTCGATGGTATCCTCTCCATAGTTTAAAGTTTTTACAAAAAAAGCGTAACTTTTAACTTAACTTAAGTTTTTAGGCCAAATATGAAGATAAATTATATAATAGTCAACGGACAACAGGATTTTTGGTATCGATTAACAGGATCTTGATATCGATCGGCAATGTTAAGCTAGGGTTAGGGCTGCATAAGCTCTATACTTTTTGTAACGGTAAGCTCATTTATAACAATTTAATTAACTTTATATTGAATATGTTTTCCTCTTGGATCTTTAAATAGTTGCTATTAATTGCTATTTAGTTATTATTTGCTAAAATATTTCGGAACTTAAATTATGCTTTTTTATTGTTAGTTACTGTTTAAAACTATTAAGATAAGATAAACTAAAATTATTTCGCGATTGAAAAGTTTAGGCCCTAACGATTGGAAATACCTAAAATATTGGCAATATTTTTGGAAACTTTTATGATGTATATAAATGCAGTTTATTTTTAAATAAACATCTGAAAACATTTGTAATGCACGGTTTACTTGTCATCTGGCAACGCTCAGTGCGGTATTTAAGTAATTTTTGGTTGTAAATATACTTTTGGTATTCCCTCGTTACCGTGGTATTTATTTTTTGGTCACATTCGCCATGGCAACTTTACGTAAAACCCCAATTGTGAGTAGAAATTAACGAATATATCAATTAAAATAAATTGACACTGTATTTTTTAGCTCGTGGGATGCTTGCAGAGGAGTTTTGCCTCGGCCGCCAAGGCTGCAAAGGCGAAGCCCATCAAAACAGGCTCCTTATCTGCTGTCGGCGAGTCGATTGCCGCCAAGGGGTCTGTCCTCTCCACTTATTTACAAAAATAAAACTCTTAAATATATGTTATTGCAGTTTCCTGCGTCCCCACAAGCCGTACTCTCCACCAGCAGATGCCGCAGAACGTATACGCAGCGTGGCCGCCTCCCTTCAGCTGAAATCCGATCAGTTGGGAAATCTCGCCGAGAAGTTTGAGTTCCTGAACGCCTGCTTTAAGGAGCTGCAGCACGGAGTGCCCAGTTCCCAGGTCCATGAGCTGCGCACCGTCGCGGATGTTATAGCCTTCTACCAGACATCTGTGGACACCACTGTCCCATTGGATGCACTGAAGCGCATCGATCTCCCAGAGAATCTGCACATCCAGTACGAGTACGTGCGCTTCAATCCCGAGACAGACACCAAATTCGACGGCCAGACGGCCTTCCCGAAGTCCTCCACGCTGGTCACGGGTCTCAAGTACCGGGAAAAGTACCAGGGACACGAGGCCAAGCGATCCTGGCCCTAAAAGCAGCCATTCTTTTATCTATTAAATCTGAAAATCAGTTAATGAATAAGTAGTAAATTTATTAAGTGTCTGGAATCTGCAGTAATTTGGCTTCACTGTCATCTATAATTACTAAAGTATGTATAAATACTCTCTGCGTCAAATTCAGGCGACACAAAGCTATGATCGTGGGCGTAAAACCCTCTAATTACCGATAATCTACAAGAACTCTGCTATAGTTTGCTTAACATCCGAATTGTAAACACTTTTCAAGGCCGCCATGACGCGTTCGTCGCCCAGCAGCTCCATCAGCCTTTTGTCCGCCTTGACCGCCTCGAAAGTGGGATACAAGAGCTCGTTGGTGATTTCGGTCACCGCCGGCTTGTTCATGATGCTCAGTATCTTCTTCTGCAGCTCGATCTCTGGATCGGGAGCCTTCAGCTTGGCCAGTGCGTTGGCCTCGCCCACCTCCCGCTTCAGTTGCTCCTCGCGCTGCCCCTCGAGATACTTCAAGATCACCTCGTACTGCGAGGCGGTCAAGGGATGATTGTCGGCCAGCCTCTCGAGCAGCTCCTGCATTTGATCGGGATGCCTTCGCTGTCCCTTGTGAATCGTGGTCACCACCGGCGGGGCAACTGCATCGCGTTGCTTCTTTAGTCTGAAATCTGTGGCAATCAGGGTGATGGCATCCTCCAGTGGCATGTTGCGATGCTCGGCGGGCACTCCGTACAGGATGTTCACGGTGATGCTGTTGTGCTCCTCGTGCTGGGGAGTTACTAGGACCGCATACAGGCAGCCACGCGATGAGATGTTGGCCAGGACCTTGCCCAGCATGACGTCCTCGTTGGGAAACAGGACATCCACCCGCAAACTGGCGTTCTTCAGTCGCTCCTCAATGTACTCGGCGTATTTGCTGGAAGAGATGGGGGTAATGAGTATCTGGAGGAGGATTCTAGGTAGCAATTGCAACTCACGTATTCTCCCGATTCTTGACTATAATCTCGCAATCGTTGATCAGCGGCTGACCAGCAGCCGCCGCCGCCGCGGACATCACAATCCCGCCCTGAACCGTCACCTGGGCGCCCTGGTTGGGATTTCTTTTGGCATTTGCATTCGCCGCCTTCGATTTTATGCTGGCGTTGCGCACGGTGAGCACGTTCTGCTTGAAGGTGGACTTGTGCAGCGCGGAGGCCGCCTTGTTGGCCACCTCCTCGCTTTCGAACTGCACGAATCCGTAGTTCTTCTGGACCATCGAGCCGAGCACCTTGCCGTACGGCTGGCAAATGCTCACCAACTCCTCGCGCGTGCAAATCGGCAGGTTGCCCAGAAAGATCCGGCTCTTGGCCAAGGCCGGGTCCTTCGTTATGTTGTAGCCCACGCTTCCCGGCTCGGACATTGTTATTTCAAGCTTTCCAGGATCAACGGAGCCGAAAAAAGGATTTTCAATCAAATCGAAGTGTGACCAGAGATAAGAAACACAAACATGCTCCACTATTTGTAAACCAGGGATACCTTAGATTGTTAATTTCTAAAACTTTAATTCATTTTAGTAGTTATTAGCCTTAATGGTTTTCCTTATTGATGCTTTTACTTTAATTAAATTCAAATTTAATTTAAATTATAACAACTCGAAATGGTATAATTGTAAAATAATTTAACATGCTAACAGTTGAATTTGGTAGTAACTAGGATCTTTGCCAAATTTAAACATTTCTGTAACCTATTAAATTAAAAAAAATTAACAAAAAAAAAAAGAAGAGTTAAAAATGTACAGGCACAAGTAAAAAAAGATATCAACATTGTATTTAGTTGACATAAAAAATAACAATTTTAAAATATTTCGCATTATATACGAAACAGTCGTCCAAAACAAAAAATTCATAGAAAAAAAAATTTATTGACATTTTTTTCATATGAAGGTTTTATTGACGTTATTTTCATATGAAGTTTTTTGTTTTGGACGACTTTTTGTTGGGTTGAATACCAGCCCTAAACTGAATTTTTAACATTCATTCAAATACACATTGTTTATATACAATTCTGTAAATAAACAAGGGCAGAAATTAGCTTAAGAAAATATAATATTATAAGAGTATACCAACAAAAAATTGGTTTCACCTTAAAGCTAGTTCTGAATTTAGAAAAAAGTTTAATGATTAGAATTCGTTTTTTGCATATAATCCGAGGTCTGCTCATTGAAATACCTTTTTGGGGAAAAAGGCATATGATTATAATATTTTTTCCTATATATTTTTTCCTAGTTTTGTAGGAATGTTTTTAGGAACAACAAAATCGAAGGCTACGGATTTTTATAAGCTTCACGAATCCCCCTTATAGTTCCAATGCGCAAAATGGTCACCTCAATAATGTTAAAGTGTTGACCTTGCCGGACTGTCAAACAAATTTAAAATTGATTTTTGATTTATTCAGTCAATTTAGAAGTTAAACTTTTAAAATATTTTAAAAATGTTAGTTTTAAAATATATATTTTTTGCATTATTCATGGTATACATAGTTTTTAAACATTAATAACAAATTGGAAAATATTTATCGTTGCGCCCTAACAGCACGCTGTAATGATAACAGCACGCGGATATTTTAGCGTCTTGTTCGCGGTCAGCGCAGCCACACTATTTTCTTTCTTTTGGCTTTCGTTTCCGGCGAGGTGGGTGCGAGAAATAAATGGTCCACGTTTTTGCCTTAAATTAATGTTTAATTTCTCATTTTAGCGTTGATTAGTACATTCAACAAAAGAAATGGTGGGTTCCCGACAGAAGCTGCAAGCTATCGTTAAAGGAAATACGCGAATAACCTGAAAAAGCCAGCGGAGCCCCAGCCCACGTGCACTGTGAAGCTTCCTGGCGATAAAATGCGAAAAAAATAACAAATTGTGTGTGGGCGGCTTTTAGTTTGTGATCTTAAGATGCCTTAAGACCCCCAGTTTTTCTGAAAAGTGCAAAGAAATTGCAGTACAAAATTCCCGGTCCAAAACATCGGTTCTAATATGTGTTTTTTCGCTTGCAGGGTATTGATATCAACCACAAGTACGATCGCAAGGTTCGCAGAACCGAGCCCAAATCCCAGGATGTGTACCTGCGCCTGCTGGTCAAGGTGAGGCTTAAGATAATTCCTAATCTGTATTTTCAGTTTGACTAATTTTCAATTTTCCCCCTTTAGCTGTACCGCTTCCTCCAGCGCCGCACCAACAAGAAGTTCAACCGCATCGTCCTGAAGCGCTTGTTCATGAGCAAGATCAACCGCCCGCCGCTATCGCTGCAGCGCATCGCTCGCTTCTTCAAGGCCGCCAACCAGCCGGAGTCGACCATTGTGGTCGTTGGCACCGTCACCGACGATGCCCGCCTGCTGGTGGTGCCCAAGGTCACCGTGTGCGCCCTGCACGTCACCCAGACCGCCAGGGAGCGCATCCTGAAGGCCGGCGGCGAGGTGCTGACCTTCGACCAACTGGCCCTCCGCTCGCCCACCGGCAAGAACACCCTGCTGCTGCAGGGCAGGCGTACCGCCCGCACCGCCTGCAAGCACTTCGGCAAGGCCCCCGGTGTGCCCCACTCGCACACCCGCCCCTATGTCCGCTCCAAGGGACGCAAGTTCGAGCGCGCCCGTGGTCGCCGCTCCAGCTGTGGCTACAAGAAGTAAGCGGCTGGCTGACTGGACTGGATTCGGCATCCTTTTGGTTAAGATATTGATTTTTCTCGCTGTCGCTCGAGAAGCGCGGCAATAAAAAGGTTTTATTCCAAAAGGTGAAAACGAATGTAATAACTCTTATCCTAGTGGAGGTGCGTGCCCCAGTAGTTGATTACTGGTTGGTCGTGCGGCTGCACGCCGAGCACCTTCTTCAGTTTGCCCTGGACGCTGGTGGATTTGGCATGGTTGAGGCAGGTCACTTTGCTGTGAGAAGCAGAAGGATTAAGATCTGGATTTCTAGCAAATAAGGAGGCTACTTACTTTTTCCACTCTTCTATAAGCACTTTGGTCTGCTTGTTCAGCACTAGTTCTGTAAAGTTCTTCTCCTCCACCGCCTTCAGAAGTTTCACCATGAGATCTGGCACTAAATAAGAAGAATTTTGTCAGTTTTATAGGGAAGTAAGCTTATCAGTACGCTTATACTCACATTTCCTAGGCAGCTCACCCGGCCATTTGACCGACACCTCGTGTCCGTTGACGTGTTTGTCCAGGAAATCGATGCGAAACACCGAGTTACTAGCCATGGGCACAGCTATATCATTGGAAACGGATATTATCTTGTACTCGGAGCTGATGGAGTGCTGATGCTGGGCATCGATTCGCATCAGGTTGTGCATGGGCTCGGGCAGGAGTTTCTTCAGGCAGACCATAAAGCGGAAGGTTTTCCTTGGATCCCCGCGCACCACAATCTTCACGCCCGTCAAGGCGCAATAGCAAACGGTGGCGAACTCCTCCTTGCGCACCACACTCTTCAAATGTCGCAGCGAGAAGAACTCCTCCAGATCCGGATCGTCGATGCTCTCGATCATGGGCAGCGTGGAGCTGTTGTAGGTGAGTCGCTGGGCGGGAGGACGGCCACTGCTTTGCGGGGGCAGCCACGGCAGATTACCAAACGTTACGTGTTCGGTGAGGAATCTAGATCCTGCAAGCAGCAGCCACGAGAAGTGCGAATGCAGCTGGGCGAAGATGTGCTCCTCGCCTGTGAGTTCCAGCAGCGAGCGGGAGGTGTGCATCAGGAACTGGGCGCCCGACAGACGCCTCTGTCGCTCCGAGTAGGTCGACTCCTCGGTCTCCTTGGTCTTCCTGGCAGCCGCCTGCAGCTCCGTGGACACCTTCTTCAGGTGCTCCGCCAGGAAGGGCTTGATGTTCAGCAGAAAGTACTTGTCCTTCATCAGGACAATGATGGAGAAGAGCTGCGAGTAGCCGCGCGCCTGCAAATCGCTCAGCCGGAAGGTGTGACTCAAAATGTGACCCCTGGCAGAGTCGCCGAAGAAGACAAACTCCCCGTCTTTAGTGGCATCCGTTCCATTGCTCAGACTCAGGACCGCCGCCTGCTTGACCAGATTGGCCACCTCCGGCAGGACGGCCACCTTGGTGCTCACAAAGGTGGCCCCGCTTTCCGTGTCCCTGCTGTAGATCGCATTGTTGTTCCTGCCCATCGAGTAGTTGCAGGAGGAGCAGGACTTCTGCTGCGACTGCTGCTGCTGCTCCAGCGACAGATCCTCTAGCTTCGTGTCCCGCAGCGTCTGGGTGCAGAAGATGGCGCAGGGACCGTGCGCCTCGCAAAAGTGGCACAGCGCTATCACGGCGTTCATCGCAGGATTTCCGAGGGTTATGTTATTGTTTATTTTATTAGTTAATAATACTAGAGTGACCAGGTGAGCGAACTTCGAAATGGGAAAGATATGTTCGAAAAACATCGGCTAGCAAACGTATGCGACGGGTTTCTTCGAAAATTCGAAATTGGCGGAAACATTTAAAAATGTATAGTAAGATACTATTAGTATCTAATATCTGCAAACCGGTAATTTTGTTATATTTGGAGTTTAACTTTTTCTACTTTTAATGGCTTGAGGCAGTTTAAATTATTATACCCGTTTTGGAATTTGTTTGTCTTATTAATTACAACTGTGGAAAATAAATGTTTTAAATAGATCAAAATACAAGATATCCGAATTAGTAATCAGTTAAATTGCGGGGAAAGGGTCTTCATTTATTTACCAAATTACTTAAGCAGAACGAAGAGAGTTGGATATCTTTATAACCCAATTTGTTGAAGATGCTAAGTGGTCAGGTCAATATTTGTTTGGATCGCAACGCAGCGCAGATCGGTACCAATTTAAGTGGTCTTCATTATCGAAAGGTGTTGTGTGTAAGCCAGTCGTTTTACAATGCACCTGGCGGCTTGGATATACTTATTTTCTGGGCTATTACCCCTGGTCAAAAGTGCCTACGATGTGGTGAACCCTTCAGTTGGTCAGAATATCACGGAATATCTGCATGCACGCCAGAAAAGACATCAATTGATTTATCGGAATGGAGGAACCATCCGTTTGGTAGTGGGTCCCGTGTTGGCCACACAACTCGAGGATCCTGTCGTCTGGCGCAGCATGGTTTACTATTATGTTCTGCATTTCGGAGCATTTACACTGCCATCAGCTCCACTTTATCCATGGGATAAATGGGAGACGATCTACGCCCGTTCGCTGCAGGAGAAGATCAGGAGCTTGGACCAATCCCACGAAGACGACACTCGCACATTTGTCTATGCGGCATTGGAGAACTATATGGACCAGGTCAGTGGATCGGTGGGTCGGGGTCGGCAGTGCTTGTTGCGCGGGATCTGCGAGAATGCCCAGGTCCATTATCATGTGGGCATAATGGCTGAGCTACTAAACGTTTTACTAACGTAAGTTTTGGTTTCCTAAATAAACATATAAATTTTCATAAAAATATTTAAATATTATATAATTTTTCAGACCTGGTAAAACGCGATTGGATCTGGCCTATACGGAAGCCTTAGCTGCAGGAAAAGCTGGAATAGATTGCTTATCACACTTTTCGGATTGTCCAAGAGGTGAAAGTGTCTTGGATGCCTATGCTGTGGAGGTGGATTATTAATAATTATTAAGATAAAATAATGAAGTATATTTTTTAGGAAATGCAAATTAATAAAATTGTAAATAATTTTGTATAATTAATATAGTTGTTTTTTAGTTTTTTCACAAATATTCAAAGCTTAAAACGCTTGCTAATATAATAGAAAAGATTTAAAACATAAAAAAAATTAATAAGTTATTTTACGACCTTTCTAAATCTTTAATCCCTAAAAGATTTTGAGAAATCCCCAACGATACGCATTCTAGGGCTTCAATAAATCCAGTTAATTTATCGATTACCACTGATAGCACTTTTCAGTTAGATCAACAGCAATCACTTGTCAACCTGGCGGTAATCTCAACCAACCTGAGGCATCTTGGTGCTCCGATGAATTTTTAACACTAATTGCAAGCGATTTGCGCCCTTGTCACTGCCACGCCCTCTCAAGCTCCTCCGACTTGGGAAACGCGCCTCTGGTAAACCAGAAACATGAGTGCATCCCAACATCCACCAGCTTCTGGGCGAAAAATCCGTTAACATTAATGGCTTGTGGCTGGTGCAACTTGGGCGTGGAAAGCGGTGCAGCGAAAGCCAACACACGACCGCCATTTTGTCAACAATGGCGTCAATTAAATGGAAAATGCAGCACCACCAACAACCAACAACCTCCAAGCTCCAAGAACACCAGCAGCAACAACGAAAGACAATAAATGCGTCTTAAGTGGCACATTAGGCTCTCGCAGACGCTGACGGACGGAGAAGAGGACGGGTTTTTTTTACAGGGTGTAGCAAGTGCTGTAGATTCCACAGAAACTGTGTGAGTTTTTTAGATCGGTTGGTTGGAAATTTCTGTAAATTTTTGATTTTTAAATTGTTCTGACAAATATATAAGGTTAAATAAAAAATCAAACAACAAATGTATAATCTTGAAAATTTTGAAGGCCTAATGAAATACGACTGGTATGGGTATATGCAAATTTCGTATACTTTTATTATAGTTAGTCACCAAGGATTTAAATAATTTTTAATTAAATATATAACTTTAACTAATAAATCTAACAAAATATTTTAAAATCTTAAATATTTGGAAAGCTTAATGAAATACGACTGTTACGACAAATTCTTATAGTTTTGTTCTACTTAGTTACCAAGGATTGTTAAAACTCGGATCAAAATGATTTATGTGATATTGATATATCGTGAACTTTAAGCACCCTGTTCAGAATCATCAGCTGCGCCTTGTGTGCACAGCTAATTCAAATGCGATTATGACAACGCGAACAAGGAAGGAGCTAAGCGGCGGAAAAGACAAGGAGGGGGTGAAAGTGGAGAAAGTGGGACGAAGGAACCATGCAAAGTGCAGTTGGCGCAGCAAAAGGGGGCGGTGTTGGGGGGAGGCCAGCACAACTTTGCGGTGTTTGAACTTGTGATGGTGCAGAGGAATAGGTAACTAATGTCTGCGGCTGCCGTGTTTATGCGGCATCATGATCCTGAAGCTGTAAAAATGGTTTACTCATAACAAAAAATAAATAAATTGCCATAAAATTATAAACCAAATCAGACGGATCTATTTACATAAAATATATCAAAGATAATTTAGTTAATTCCGAGTTTTTTCGCTAATATACGGTGCGTATGATTATTATTTTTCCTTGCTAACTAGATTTTCTCCCAAATAAATCTATAGATTTCTTTATAGCAATTATTTTTTATTTTATTCTAGATATATTTACCCTTTGTTTCTAGTTTCTTAGTTTTCAAGCGTAAGCCCCCGCATAAACCGTCATGCATCTGGTATGCCTGCATCGATGTGCACACATGCTCATCCTCGAGCCGAGTCAACACAGTTTCCTGCCGCCCCTCAGACATGCTTCCGTGCATTTCCGCCCCAAATTATGCAGCAAGAACAAGCGAAATCCGACATCAGGACAAGACCCATTAGACATGCACTTTGATTTGGCTGAAAACTTTATTGCGGATCCCCATTCTCTTCCGTACTCCACAGAAATCCGCCGCAGCAGCAGTAAATCAATCATCTTCCACAATCAAAAGCCCGTCGAGGAAGTTGAGACCCCGAGGACAGGAGCTGTATAGTCCCAGGCAATTAGCTCCAGCTCTTCCGGCGGCATAGGCCTCATGATAGGAACTGTCCAGATCCGCTTTGCCGGGACTGAAAAATATAGGATTATACGGTTATAATATTATAAGAGAATTTAAAAATATTTTTAATTGAATCTATAAGAAAACAATACATATTAAATAAAATATTTAAAATTCGTATTAATTTAAATTGTTTTAGGCATTTAATTTTTATATTTTTTGAAATGAAAAATTATAAAACAAAGCAGGGAGTTTTTATGATTTGGCTAACCTGAGTATGATATCTATAATTTCAGAGAACACACCGATGTGGTGATGTATCTGGGCGTTCTCGCAGATGGACCGCAAAAGGCATTGCCTGCCCATGGAAAGGTCGTTGTTCCTCCTGCCCATGTACTCCTCCAAAGCAGTGTAGACCAACAGCCTGGCATCGTCCGCATATCGGACTCCTCCAATTGCCGTATGTCTTTCGATATTCCGTCTCATTTGCGCCAAGGATCGGGCAAAGGTGCCCTCCCACTTGTCCCAGGGCCAGATTGGCGATGTGGGCAGGGAATAGGAGCCACCTTGGAGCGTGAAGGAGAGCACACAGGATCGGAAGGACACCTTGTCCTCCAATGGAATCGGTGTCGATGGACCAATGCTGAACTTCATGGATCCACTATTCTGGTAGATCAGCCATCGCTTCTGCCGGTGACCCATAAACTCCGTGAGATTTCGAGAGGCGAGTCCCGGGAATGGCAGGGTGAGCAGACCCACCGCCAAGAGCAGACCCACCGTTGTCCACTTCATGCTCTCAACGACTAACTGCAGGTGTAGGCGTCACAGCCCTAACTCGTTCTCAAATCGCCCGTGAATTAAGTGAGCCATCAACTCGGGATGACAAGTGGAAATTTCGGAGGCACAAACATTTGGTCAGGCAATTAGCATTATGAATTTGACAAGAATTGGATTACACTGACGCAAGAATTTTGATGAATAAATAGCTAAATTTAATCAACACCTAGATATATGTGGTAAGTTCACAATCTATAACTTAAATAAAAAGAAAAAGAGTTTTGATTTAAGCGACCTAAATAAATTACTAGAAAAATGTTTAATTTAAATCTTAGATTACACAGAATTTATATATTTTATCTGTAGATTCATAAGACATATTGAAAAAGTATCTAGCACATGCTAAATTGATTTTTGTTATGCGGCGCACATTATTTTTCCATGTGTGCCCAATCCATTTCGGTTTTCTATTTGCACACGTGAGTGGAAAACTGAGTGGACAACACAGCAACCTATTTGGGCCCGGCCCCAATGAAGTGACCCAAACAGCCAAGATCAAGATGAAAGGTCACAAAAATATGGGGGAAAAAAAAGAGCCACTTAGAAGACCATTAAAATGCGGAAAATCTTTGCACACAATCAGCCTGGGGAGCGATGAAACGAAAAATGTTTTGCAAATTATTTAGACAAATACGGGAAGTAGCACCATGCCAACGTGGCACCAGGATAATATCCTTTTTCGGGTTGTTTTGTGATTTGTCGACGTGGCCGGAAATGAAAAGCAAATAGCTGTAGCAGTGGCAACAGCAGCAGCAGCAGGCAAATAAATTTGCTTAAATAACAGCAGAGGGAAGAGCAACAATCGGAAAACAGCAAACAGAGCTGCAAACCGCAAAGATGAAGGAGGAGGAAATGGATTCAGACCGCAGTGGCACACACAAATGGTTACACGATACAGAAAATCCGTGTGTGGTTGACATGTCTGACAAAATCACAATGCCGCGTAACTTTTCCAGCCCGATTCCAACCCATCCACCTGTCCCTTGGACATTTCCGCTTTCTGGGAACAACAAGCTACTCGCCCGAGAAATAAATTCATGTTGACAATTTGAATGATTTACAGAAAATGCGTGCAGACGAAATTTTCACTTCTCCCAAATAGCTGGGCAAAAAAACAACCAAATAACTCAAGGTCTATGCGTAGGCGTAAATGAGAAGATCAACAGAACCCGCCGATTTGGAGCATTAAACCCGCTTAGCAGACACGTTTTCAGTTCGAAAGACGTACTCCTTGGAATTGGTCAGTCATTGTTGACATTCTAGTCTAGAAAGTGGCTGTGTCATCTTTTCCCTAGCATTTCCCAAAAATAGATTCTGAATTGATACAAAATATTAATTACCGAATTTAAAAGCACTGGTTTTTAAGAGAAGAAACTAAATTAGTTATCTTTAAAAGGTTTAAATCTAATTCATAAATGCTTTTAAATTGTGGCTAAGTTGTTTATAAATTTAAAATTTAAATAAAATATGGCTAATAAATAGTTATTTTTGTGCTACTCACTCACAAGCCCAGCTTGCAATTTTTAAGTCTCCGGTTCATCTGCATTACTTAAGGGTAGTCCTGATTTATGAGTTCTTATGAGCTCATGTTGCAATATTTTTGCCAAAAGGTTGTTTCATGGCAACATCGCAACATCGTATCTCATTCTCTGTCATATGACATTGCACATGTTTTTCCCTGCTGCCTTTCCATATTTTTACTTGGCCCGTTCGCATGCTCCTTTTGCCCAATTTGGCACAGCCAGAAACTTTATTTTTCTTGGCCGCAATTAGGCAGCGGGTGTACGACGGAGGGTCTGGAAAAACAATATCTGAAGAGGGGCTGTCGTCCCACCCACCAGAACATTTCTCCAACTGTCACAGGCAGCCCCAAAAAAGGCAAAAGGACGAAGGCAAAAATGGAAGTAACTGTGACACTCAATGGACTCGTAGCTACCTCATTCGACCTTCTTCCTTGCCAACCAAACCTCCACCCCCCTTCGAAAAAAACGACTCCCCAGAGCGAAGTTCTTCTTCTTCAATTTCTCACACAAACTGTATATAATATTTATTATGTTGGCATAATAAATTGCAACATGAGGCAG